GCACTTAACAACAAGAACAATGTGAAAAGAACTGACTTTTTAAACACTCAGTTATTTTTATTTTTCCTTTTCAGATGCTATTTGAGACATTATGAAATTGCCAAGTGAGAAAAATGGAATTTGATTCAACAGGTTATTTTTGCTAGCAAGTAATCTCTCCAAGTGTTTTACTTCAGTAGTAATCAATCAGAACAAAGATTGAAAGTGAAAGTGTCACTTCGAATGCAAGGAAAGAAAAGGCAGCAAAGAATGATATGCCAAGCTGAAAATTGTTGATGTTATTTATAACCACTATAATATTACAAATAAATATTACAGCTGCAAGAGTCACAATATGCAAAAGTGTTTTAAATATATATACGTGAATCTTTAAATGGGAGAAAATGCCCTATTTTTACCAATCCAGACTCCTTGGAATTCAGCAATGCTTCACTATTTCATAACTTGTGATCTACTTTTGTAAAAGATTTATTAATATATTATCAATTACAGAACAACAATATTCTTTAGCTATTTCAATTAGCAAATATTTTTGCTTCACAAAACAAACATTAACCAAATGCAAGTCCAGTACCTATTGCTTTGAAAAATAAGCATGAGCTTAAATGCCTGAATTTTATAGTTAATGAGAAAGTAAAAAGCATATATTTAATTCTAGGAAATAACAGAATTGGAATTCGGCTGAAAGGCACATTTAATCATTTGTTTACACGTAATAATACAATTTTCAATGACTTACTAGAATGATTACAGACAGAAAATCAATTCTTAAAATCTCATGCATGATTCATAATTATAGCTAGGATGTATAATGAAAACTGAAAGACATATGTGTCCAAGTGTTATTAAACAATGATTAAGCTTTGATGAGGACATCCATTGTCTATAACTTATCTCTTCATATAATCATGGCTGCCTGCCAGACCACCATGTTCTAGGAGTAGATATTTCTTCTCAAGAAATTCCTCTTCAGGAAACTAGTTATTATGTTCTAATTTAGAGGCCTTAAACCTCTTCCTATTAGGGACTTGGTACAAATGTTCAAACAAAAGATTACTGACATATATCAAAAGTTTTTGTTTAAACTATAATACCACTCACTCAATTAAGATGTCAAGAACACATTTTTTAAAATGTTTCCTACCTTTCCTGTAAATGCTTGCTCCCAGGTATACATTTATAAAGTCAATCAACTATAAGAAGATTTGTATGTCTTTGAAAAACATAAGATCTTAAAATTTCATTGTCCACTGAAAGCAGACTAGCAATAGAAGTTTGACAAAAATCCAAACAGTTTACCAACATTTCAAAGTAGTAGGCAAAAACTTGATTTTTATTTTGGCTACTTTCCAACATAACTGGAATACAAATACTTCTGTTTAAAAATAGTTATAGTTAAAGGCACAGTTGCCAGGAACTTACCAGAATTTCTCTTTGACACCATCTTCAGATTTGTGCTGACTACAGAGCAGACCACAAGAACCAAAAGAGATGGCGGCTTCATCTTTCACTTTCCTTGCAAGCTGAAAAGACAAATAAGAACTTGAAGTTTAAATCACAGATCTTTGAATCAACACAACAGCAATGATTTCACATTTCTCAAAGACACACTGCAGAAACAGTGGCAATCTGGTGGTTTCTCATTTTATTTTTATGCAAATGAAAAATTTTAACGTGCACAATGTAATAGTTTCAATGTTCCCTACTTAAAACTTTTTAATGACCTCCTGCTGGCTTTAAAGTACAACCTGAACTCCTCCCATTAGCATTCAAAGTCTTGCACATGGTGTGGCTCCTTGTCTATCTCTTTGATCTTATTCACAACTTTTTCCCAATTGGAGATGCTCCAGCAACTAAGGCTTTTTTTCCCCCCTGTAATGTGCCATGGTCATTTCTACCTCATAGACTTTGAACTTGGTCTTCCTTCTTCCTGAGATACTCCTCTCCACAACTTATGCAGTCAATTCTTTATCATCCTACAGGTCTGAGCCCCACAAAAAGGCCTTCTTGACTACCCTGTCTTAAAGTAAGCCCCACTCTTTAGCATATCTTTAATTCACCTCTTGTTTTATTCATAGAACTGATAGACATGTATAGCTATTTTGTTTGTTTGTGTGGCAGGGAAATTTTTTACTCAACTTTGCCACACATATTTTTAAATGAATCAGATTTAGTTTTCAATAATTGGAAATTCCTTGAAAACAAAACAAAATAACAAGTATAGAATTCAACTGAAACCTTGTTAAATCTCCTCATCCTATACCAGGAAAAGGAGGTTGGCTAAAGTACCATCAGCTGGCATTTGAAGAAAGAACAAAACCATTTAAAATTCTGGTTTTCTTTGAGTTAAAACTTCCTAATAAATTGGTTACCAAGATCCTTTATAAACTCAAGATATAAACATGGCAAAGGAGACAATGAGGGTAAAACCACAGCAGTATCTGAAATAATAACTAAAAGCAAACTAAGAGGAAAAGTAGGAATGGCTTCTGGATAACATTTAAAGATCTGGAATTCTGTAAAAAGCCTTGTTTTTTCAGTAATTTATTTGTGCTTAAAGATGCAGAACACAGCATATAAGAGTAACAGAATGGTATCGAGTCTTGAACAGGAAGTTCTTTTCCCATAAATGACCTCAAAGATTCATTCTAACATCCTAAATTCAGAAAACTGCTAGATATTGTCTTCTGAGACCAAATATTCAGAGACCCAGCACAGTTAGTTCCTTATCATTCCACCCTCTCCACTATCAATAAATGAGGCCTGAGAAGGAGGAAGAAGATTCATTTTGATAAGTAAGACTGGCTTTTTCTTTTCTCAGCTGACCAACATCTACTTAATGGCAAACTTGCTGAACTTCCCTGAACTATTATTAGAAGAATAAGGAGCCCTCTGTAGGTATGGTGTGTTGAAGACTGCAAAATGACAAGGGGTCAGGATTAATCCTAACCCACACACACACAACAAATTCCTAGGTTCCAGAAGCCACAAAAGAATGATTTGGCACATGTCCAAAGGCCCAAGTTGAAGTAGGAAGCAGATGATTCTTTCCAGGTCTTTGCCACATGGAACAAGAGAAATGTACATGAGGAAAAGGATATTTTTGTTACTAGCTGAAATTTTCACAGAAGATGTAGCCAAATATTTTTAAAGACTTCTAATCTGCAGAGGAGATACTAAAAAACCCTCTCATTGCAGACCAATTAGATAGTGCCCATAGACAGTTTAAAGAGCAATTATGACCAACCAATGAGAAGACATGTGTTGTCATTTGCATCTGTCTTTTCATTCCTCCTGATCTTCAGTCAACTCCCCCTCTATAAGGCAACACTAGCGAAGAAGCACAGAAAAAGAGAAGAGGAATAAGGGGGTATATGTGAAACTCTTCTGTGTACCCCCAAAGCCCTAGTCACAAGGATCACATGTCTCATCTGTTTGAGGAAAAAGGAAGAGAAGATAGCCGAATCAGGTAAGAACTTGGAGTAAGTGAAGAGAATGAATCAGAGTGAGACTCTTCTAAATGCAGTTGAAAAATTATAGAATCTGTCTGAAATAGTTACTATTGGCACTACCTCCCAGTGGGGAAAGAGAAGCACAATAAACACAGTAACAAGTATTGGGAAAATAATGTTATTTCGTGTTTATACTCTAATGAGTTAAACTCTTGATAAACAAATATTAGCTTAGTGACCTTTTATCCTTCTTATCCACTAGAATATAAACTTCATGTAGGCAGCAATTCAGTCATCAAACATTGTATCTTAGCACCTATCACAGAACCTAACACTAAATATTTTACTTAGTAATAGAACAATACATATGTAGATAACATCTTATCAAGGGGTCAAGTAATTAAAATGAATGATAACTTTCAGTGTTTTTCAAGTTCTACCCATTTGTTTGAAATAGAAAATTTCTTATCTAGTATATGTTTACCCAATCTGAGCTGTATCCTGTCCCCTGATATAGTGCATAGTGTTGGCACCCTAGTCATAATTACTTGGCCACTATAGAAGTCAACTGCAGAAGTCTTCCTATATTTCTTTACCAGAGGGTTTTTTTTTTTTTTTCTGTCAGCAAAAGCAGCCAGACCACTGTTTGATATGGGCTGAAAGTGCTGGGCTGTTAACACTTGATGAGTGACTTTCTAACAGTGACAGGATTTGGTAAATAAATACCCCAATTCTCTCACTCCTTGGTAAGTTTCTGTGGGAATGAGTGGTAAAGTGTTCATTAAAACACCTGTATTGACTTTTCTCCTTTCTTGTCTGAATTTGCCATTCACTTACAGTACTTCCTGGTATCATCTCCCAAATAAACTACTTAAATCTAAAAGACCATTTTGTACAGCACAGAATGTTTTCTGTGTGTGTGTGTGTGTGTGTGTGTGTGTGTGTGTTAAGTGCCTTACAGTCCGTTCTGACTCATAGCAACCCAGTATAGGGTTTCTGAGGATCAACTGTTGCGTTTGAACCACTGCCCTTTTGATTCTAACTGACCTTGCAGTCCTGTACTTATTCTACACTGCCACATCAGAATTCCACAGACACTAGCAAATTTCCAGTTAAGACAATTATGTTCATTTTAGAATTATTCAGAATAGCCAAAAGGTATTCAATATGTGAATGGGTAAATGAAATAGAACATTACTCTAACATAAAGAAAAGTGAAGTCCTGATACATGCCACAACATAGATAAACCTTGAAAACATGAGGCTGAATGAAATAAGTTGTACACAAAATGGCAAATATTATATAACACTTATTTGAAATACTTACATGAATAGGCAAATTCAAAGAGACAGATGTTTTTGTTAGTGGTCACTGGGGCAGGTGGGAGGTGCAACAAATGGAAATTGATAGCGGTGATATTTGCACAACACACTAAATGTAATTAATATCACTGAATTGTAAATGTGAAAAAATGTTGAAATGGTAATGTTTTGTTATTTTTAATTTTACCACAATAAATAAAGAAGGTTTATTATTCAAATTTTTCCTGAAGCCCTTGTCCACTCTAGCCCTCTTAACTTATGGCCTTATTTTGAACTGATACCACCCCAGAGTCTTGATAAGAACATTGATTCACATCCAATTTAGTTGTCGCCTGCTGTCATTTACAAATGGCCTTGCTAGTTTTAGATTTTAGGTGTCTGCCATGCTCTCCTTACACTCAGCCTATGCTATTAATGATTCTACCTTCAATATTTATGTCTTAGGATTCCTAGTGTTACAGTGTTTAAGTGGTTGGATGCTAACTGTAGGGTCAGTGGTTCTAACCCATTAGCTGCTCCATAGTAGTAAAATGTAGCAGTCTGTTTCCATAAAGATTTACAGTCTTGGCAACCCAATAGTGTCACTATGAGTCAGAATCAACTCAATGGCAAAAGGTATGTCTGTGTCAAAGCCAACAATTTGCTAACTTGACAAGACAGAATGTTATTTTTAGGTTTGGGATATGATATTTTGTAAATGATGACAAAATAGGAAAGATGATTTTGAGAAACGCTTTTGAAAATCCTCTTTTGTCCTGTGGTTATTATGTGATAATTTTTACTCAATCAAGAACTACATATAATAGCTGATATTCAGAGATATTGTCAGAAATAACCAGCCCAGAGATATTTCTACTTCTTTGTTTAATTTATCCCTGCCTATTCTTTGTGAACGGAGCTCTGGTAGCGTCGTGGTTACGAATTGGGCTGCGAACCTTAAGGTCAGCAGTTCGAAACTACCAGTTGTTCTGCGGGAGAAAGATGAGGCTCTCTGCCCCCGTAAAGATTTACAGCCTCAGAAACCCTCTACAGGGTTGCTATGGGTTGGAGTCGACTCACTTAAGGTTTGATTTTGACTAGTGAGAACATCACTGGAATTGAATAAGTTGACTACAGAATTATTTCATATACCCCCTTTCCTGTCAATTAAAGTCAGTAAGGAAAATTGGGCACAACAAATTTTTAAGGTTATATATAACAATTCCATATCCATAGGAGAGTTCACTTATTTAACATGTTTTGCTCAACAACTGTTATATGATAATAATAACCAACCCCAAACTTGTTGCCACTTAGTCAATTCTAACACACAGCAACCATATAGGACACAGAACTGTGCCATAGGGTTTCCATGTCTGTTATCTTTATGGAAGCAGACTGCCACATCTTTCTCCGATGGGGTGGCTGGTGGGTTTGAACTTCCAATCTTTCAATTAGCAGCCATGTGCTTAACCACTGCACCACCAGCCCCAGTAAGATGTTGTTGTTGTTGTTGTCAGGTGCCATCGAGTCAGAACTGACTCATAGGGACCCCATGCACAGCAGAAAAAAACAATGTCTGATCCTGGGCCAACCTGACTACTGCTGCCACACGTGATGCCATTAATGATGCCACTTGGCCGATCCATCTCTTTGGGGGTCTTCGTCTTTTTCTCTGACCCTCCATCATACCCAGCATGACATCCTTCTCCAGCAACTGTTCCCTCCTGACAATATGCCCAAAGTATGAGACACGAAGCTTAGCCATCCTGG